TTCACTTTCAACCAAATCCGGCTTCAGAACACATGTATTCCTCCATTATTATTGACTGGTCTTTTCATGAGACTTCTTTCTAAACACATTATTTTGGATTTCCATAATCACTTTTGAAGCAAAACTCATACACCATTCAGGTTAAACCATAACCTCTATATTACCATTAGATACATAACTGGTTGGAATGAGTGATCCTGTATTAGTATAAGATTTCCTATATATTTTCAGATATCAATTAAACCAATTATTTACATTGGAACCATTTATATTCTTCATTCACAGTATGGTCTATTCATGCATTATCTCTATACTCATAGACCCAGGGTACACCTTTTGGTACCCCCGAATGCTAATTTATAGGTCTTCAACATATTGCTCCCCAAAAGAGTGGAAGAAATACTCATGTCACCTGATCTACATATACATTTTGTCACAGTGATATTCTGGACACAAAATGCAAAGGTCACACTTATGATTGTAGCAAAGCCTAATTGGAAAGTGAGCATGGATTACTCAAAACATCCTTGTCCAGGTTGCCTAATGCTCTCAAATGTCAATTCGATTGGTGACTACACATTTGTTTCTGCCTAAGATTATATATTCAACCTCAACCATGTTGAAAATGTCTAATCCTATCACTGATTTTATACTTTGACTGATTTCCTAATGTCTATATCCATATCTGCTTTCCTACATATTTTCCTCAGTTCATCATTGTGACTGACTCTTCACATGTGCTGACATTTGCATTCACTCTCTAACAGACACCCTATTGCTAACGAACTTTTTGTTCAAATTTCATACTCACTCTTCTTCCTAAACCTACTGACTATCTTCTTAATTTTACCTACTATCCTTTTTGACTGGATGATTTCTTATACGTTCAATCATCCAAGGTACAAGGTCCTGTGCCATTGTATATGGATTTATCGGAGACATCTGTACAGAATGCAATTCAAAGCTAAGTATCCCAATCAAGGGCCCAATGCCCTTCTGGCCTTGAAATCTTACTTAGATTTTTGTTTTTATACATATATTTCACCTCTATATTATTATAAATATCACAGGTTCCCAATACCATTCTTCATCCAGCAGAATGATTCCTAACCCTAATCGAACATGTTCTTAACACCAAGCATACACTGTTTCTTCAATCTAACTTTACAAAAGAGCAGGGATAGAGTTGGTCTTACAATACAGGAATGTAGGGGATCTTCCACCTGCTGAGAACCTCAAAGGTCCATGCAGAAATGATCCCTGGAGAAGATGTAGGCAGCTAGGAAGGACCTGAGAGAGCAAAAGTCATCTTCCATAGCAAAAAACCTGGTCAGGATGAAGGGATGTGTCTGAATGAGCCTCTCTCTTCTTAATGTAGACAAGATGGACCAAACCAGGCCTGTGTGGAGAGCTTTTCCTGGGTGCCTATGGTTGATATACCATTCTAAGTTGTGGAAGTGTAGCAGGAGCAGGGGCAGCCTCCATCTTATGGGACCCTTGGAAGCAACAGTTAGAACAAAGTGGTTTCATAGGCAGTGACCTCATTCAGTTCCTGAAAAAATTGACCTCACCACACTTCCTTTGTGGTGGAACTCTCTGAACTTGGAATCCAGTATGCCAGGAACCCAAAGGCAGTCCAAGTCCCAGTCCAAGGGGGCTCTCTTGTTTGGATTTATCAAGGACAGAGTCAGTTTTTTTGGTACCTACAGATGTGAGAAGGGCCAATTGCCAGACAAGCTCTTAAAGGAGGCCTTTCCTGAGAAAGCATGTAGTGGTTCACCACTGCCTCCTGACAACTTCACAGAGTGGGCCAAAGAGGCCAGATCTGAGACAGTAAAGGCCATTTTGGGAAAAAATAATATGGCCCACCAGTCAGACAACACTCCGGGTAGTCACAGACATCCTTGGGGGAAGGAGGTGGCTGTGTGTTTGGGTGTGAGTTTGTGGTTTTGTCTCATATTTTGAAAAAATGTAGGAAAGGCAGTTTGTTTGGATTTGAGTGGATTGTTTCTAGCAAATCTGTTGACAAGGCCAGTGTTATTATGTCTGTGTATTCCACTGTGTTTCGGGTTGTGGACATTAGAAAAGAGAATGCATCAATGGATGTGTCCTGTCTAGTAGAAAGCTTCCAGCATTCATCCTGCCCAATTTATGAATGGACTGCAGCTTGCCTTATCCATGGGCAACAACTACTATTTTCCTAATTTCCTGTTTTTTTCCTGAATTCTGGCCACACTCCAGAAAAGGCTCATGGTTCTGTGTCCAAGATATGTACCACCTCCAAGCTTGGTGACATGGCCATGTACTGGATAGCTGAAAGGAATGGCGAGCATCTCAGAAAACTCATATATCAGTGGGCCCAGTAAAGTCTCAGTGGAGAAACCCTGCTTTGGGCCTTTTGCTTACCTATTGTTCTGTTTCCCTGGATGTCAGCAAGGTCTTTGCCTCAGGGCACCACTTTGTGAAGCCTGAAGAAAACAGTTTTCAAATGCAAAGGAATGGGCCTCACCTGTGGCTCTTTGCTTAATTGCTTTGCAAAGGGATGTGTCTGAATCAGCCTCTTGGCCCTGTGTGAGGGTGTGGCTTGGATTGTCAGGACCTGATGGATCTCAAGAAAGATCCCATATGTGCATCCAAAGCCAATATGGCAAAAAAGCAGTCACTGTGGATGAAGTGTCTCACCTTCCTCTGTAAGGTTTTTGACCTCCATCAAGTGAGAGTAGGGATCCTTTTGTCAAATGAGTTCTTCAAAGCTTTGCAGAGGCTAGCCATTATGTGCTTGGGTTTTCTCATGCCTCCAATTCACAAAAAGAATCTATACCCCACCATCAGCAGGCCTCAAAGTGGAGAATATGAGGAGTATTAAATGCAGGCCTATTTGATCACTCCTGGTTCAAAGGATGGGTGTCCAAGCCACCCTGACATTAGGCAAATGAGGGGCAAGGGAGCTTATTGTGGACACTGTCTTAGGCTTCGCCCCTCATGGAAACCTCAAGCCAGAGGTTATGAGGATTGTCTCTATGGATGAAGATGAGGGCCTTGTGGCAGTGTTTTGGTTTGAATTGTGGTCATTTGTGTTGCTGTGGGAGAGATGACTGGGTCCGCCTGGGCTTGAACTCTGGTGTGATTCCCCTTGGAGACTGAGTTCTGGAACTGACCTCAGAGAAGTATTGCCATGAATTGTGTTGGGATTTTCCAAGGCCACGCATGAGAGTCACCCTGGGAAACCAAGATCAAAGCCCAGGGTGACTTTCCACAGAACACTGGGAATCTCAGCCAGGATATCACATGATTTTATACTTAAAGACCTGACAGCCATAGTTGAGAGTCAAAACACACATGGACCTCACATTTTACCTCAGTGGGCTTGGTTTCATGTGACGTTTTGGCCACTCTTTGGGAATCCTTGTTTGTGAGAGTTCTCCAGAGCTTTCATTAAAATGATCTTTCTCAACATTTAATGGTTCCTGAATGAATGAAAACCCACAGTGCTTCCAAATTCATCTTTTAAAAATGGCTAGATAAATAGGATACATTCGTTGAAATTCCCATGACCAGGTGGCACTGAAGAACTTTTGGATGTCCTGTTGCTGATCATGAGTGTACCAGGCAGGTACCTTGATTGACTGTGTTGCATGAAAATAATGCAGAACAGAGATGCCAGTAAGGTGGGGCCTGCTTTGTAGTGGGCCTAGAGCAGTGGTGTGCAGGTGTGTGATTTAAAATCTGTGGTGGGGCCTTGTGGATCTGCCATGTGATTCCAAATGGCTTGTGACTGACATGGTGCAGCCAGCAGACCCTTATATGTAAAGGCATCTTGTTATATGAAGAGGTTTCTTGGCAATGGTCAGAATCAGCTTGCTATGGTTAAGGGGACAAGCTTTGTGGGATAAAAGCCTGGTTGGTGCATTCTCCTAAAACCCTGACCTACCACCCGTGACAGTACTCCCTTCAGAACTGTGTCGCAGTTGAATTCCTTGTATTTTGTTAAGAAAATACCAAACTCCCAGTGCAGCAAGAAACACCACGAAAACTGGAGGATGACCAAATGGCTTCACAGTCCCCACGGGGAGACACTTAGCCCCCAGTGGCCACAGTTTATGTACAAAGAGAGAATTTAGCACTTCTGCCTCATGTTCATTGGAAAATCAGAAACCATGTTCTTCAGGTCACATAGATGCAGACCGAGCTTTGATGGTCTCACTACAAAGTAAGATAAGCTCCTGACAACAACAAATATTTCAAGAGCCCAACCTAGAGGGAGTTTCTCAAAAAGTCTTTAGGCCAGCAGAGCTCTATATTTGTGGAGTGTTTATCCCGTTCCATACTTATGGAAACTCCTTTACCACCTCCAAAGTTGTGAACTCCTGAGAATTTTTCATTCCACATATGTATTCAAAGATTTTCTAACTCTTCTCTTCAAATTGCGTCTTACTTGGGGCGAGGGTATTGTCAAGGCATTCTTCTGGATGACAATGGGAAGATTTTTTTGTAGCTAATATTTGCATACACATTGGATTCATTTTTCTATTTTCCATTTCAAATACTGAATTCCTGACACTAATGCATACCCTACTAGACTCTGACTACGAATCCTAATATGATGGAGAAAAATAACCCAAACAGAATACAAATACAAGCAATTCAGAGGAGGCATGGTGTGTAGTTGGACAGGCCTTTTGCATTATAAAGGGTAGGTGTAATGAATCTAGTCCAATGTAATAGTTTTCCATGTATTTTTAAAGGTAACAAGTATGTGAATTCCTGTCTCCCTTTCTCTGTAGCCTATTCAGCACATGTATTTTTCCATGCACACATAGAATCCTACCTGGTTTCCAAGCTACATTCTTGTGAGGTGGCTGACTTGGCAGATACAAATTGTGAGAAGAGATCACTCCTCCTAAATGCTGTTGGAACTGAAAATCAACCTCTGGGTGAGCTTCCTACTTGACCAAAATGATACATAAATCGATGTTCAGTAAAATAAATATTTTTGGATCTGTGGATGATATATAATTCAGGATGAATTTTAATTGGCATATATATTTCTACTTTTTAATGTGTCTGTGTGTGTATTTTGTGTGTGTATATATATATATGTATATATATATATATATATATATATATATA